CAAATATGGCTCGAATTTTTCTTTAGTTTTTTTCTCGAATAGAGCAAAATTCACTAAATAATGTATCAAAGGTCATATTTTTTGCTGAAACCTCTGGAAATTCCAACATTCCAAATAATCCACAAAATTTCAAATTTTTTTCTACACCCTCTACTGCATTATTAAAGCTAAAGATTTCTTCCTGAATGCAATCTGTTTCTCCATAGTAGAGCTTTCATTCATTTCACATAGATATTTCGAATTATTAGATATTTTTGTAGTTATATCATTTGATTTTTTCAAGTGATGGTTGATTTGTTAGTAGGATAGAAGGTGCATCATTAAAATATAATTCAATTATTATCTTTAGTTAATACGAGAAAGTATGAGCTGTTACTGGACCACTAGTTAGTGGTTGACATCTGAGAATCGCGAATGATGCTGCCACTAACTGTATCCTAGCAAGCACTCGTACGCAGTGACTCAGAGGATGTTATCTTTTCTTGTTGCCACCGTCTGGGAGTTAACAAATATGGGCTACACCGGTGTTCTCAACGATCTTCTGTTATAAGCACGCGGCTGGACAATTTGTCTACATTAGTCGGAGAGAATTAATAGCGTTGTTACTTGATTGTTTATTACTTCTTTGTAATTGTTCGTCGGTCGTTATTCTATCACTTTTAATTAACTTTCTCGTTTCCATTTCTGTTCATCCTTCTTACGAATCGTGAAATGCATTAGAGGATCGTCGTCAGTGATGATCGTGGCACTGACTGGCCGTCTCGAGCGGGACAAAGGATGCGCTGCGGTCGCCGCCGCCGACGCGACGAAGAGCAAAAAGCGCTCACCACAACCCAGCGCCTGCACTCACTTGCCAGTCCTCACCTCCGCGCACCCTCTAGCCACCCACTGCCCTCTAGACGAGCGGCAACCGGTGTTTCGTGGCCTAATTTCAATGATCCGCAAAAAAAATTAACATTATTTAAATTCCCCGAGATTTTGGGGAGCTTTAAAAGAAAAATACTTACAAATATTTTGTTTACATTTTAAATCGTTATATTTTATTTCTTCATCTATGGTGAACGCCCAGTGTTATCAGATCGTACCATAATTAGGAAAACTTACATTTTCAGCTCATCCCACATGCTTATGATAATTTTCATAGAAATGATTAATAAAAGTTATAATTAACAAGATTAAATAAATAAATATAAAATTGTATTACAGTAACAACCAATTTAACTGAAGTTAACATATTATTACATTTCATCTTGAAACAAAGAAAATTACAAGAAAGATCTTGAATACCTTCTTCTAACCATTATGCAGATCAGTTGCCCGCGAAATTTTAAATTGCAAAATAGTAGACGGCAATGTCAGTCTATGAATTTCAGACTATAAATTCGGGATCTCATCCATTGTCTCGCTCGTTCACTTGCCCACATTTGCTCACCAACTTGCCATTCCCTCAGTCATCCCCTCGTACTCCCACGCACCTGACGTTGGAAAGCAGGCCAAATGTCACGTGACTTTTCTTCTGCAAACGTTGCCGTTAGTTGTTATGTTGCGTATCTCTGGGAATGCTTCAAATCCTTTATATTTCTCAGCTTGGTTAAAGTCAGCAGATAATAGAACCGCGCGCAACATTGCGGGATGAGCGAGTACACCTGGCGGAGAAGACTCTCAGATAGAAAAAGAATTTATCGCACCAATTTAACATGTCCACGAGATATTTATCCAAGAGTTTAATAGCTGACTATTCGACTTACAAATTATCTCAGCGATTTATTCCACTTCTTTTCTTAGTGACAAAGAAGTCCATAGAACGTTTTTCTCATCAATTTGTGTCTTCAATTTCGTTTCTGCGCCCTTGCCGCCTCTTGTCCCCGTCATTATCGTGATTCCTTTTCTTTACTTCGTGAACGTATAGTCCGCTGGCCGTTCATCTCGGGACGCGATCTCCGCTGTGCCCAAGGTGCTTGAATTTGTTGGGTTGAAAAATTCGCATTCGTGCATGTGCTGTGTAAAAGAAACTTGGTTGGCGGCACGGCCCGACGGCACAATTAAATATCTCGACGACTTCCACCATAATCATATCACCTCCAAATTCGCTCAATGATGGAGCAAGGAAAGAGACGTATAAGTTTAAATGAGATTGTTTTAAGAACATCGATTCGCAGTGGCAGTTTAGCATCCAGAAAATGTTGAAGAAGAGGGGAGACATAGGGGAGAATATATTATTATTTTATTTATGATAAAATCATCATTGCATCATTTATAAGTTATTTATTTTAACATAAACATCTCATGTTATTTGATAATTAATTAAATAGCTTATTGATTTATTATTTATTAAGAGAAAAATATTATTTTTCGAAGTACGAGGGTTTCATATCTCCATCTGTTAAAATCCTCTCATGGTATAATAATAATAATAATAATAATAATAATAATAATAATAATAATAATAATACCTGCCACGGAGATAATATTACTGAGTTCCGGTAAAATGCAGGGTGCACGCGTAGTCCAAGTCGGCCCATTCGCGAGCAATATAATAATAATATTGAAATTGTTGTTGGTTCTTCCTGCTGATCCTGATTTAAGCCCTCCATCTATCTACAATATTAATATTTTCCAAGGCAATTCTGGAAAGTGCTGAAAACATGACTCGCAAATAGGGGATTATCAATGCGGTTTCCGGAAGAGTACATCCTGCACGGAACAGATTTTTAACTCACAAGCAATAATGACCTATTTAAGAAGAAGGGCTAAAGATTAGGTAATTATTTTTATTGTTTTCAAAAAGCATATAACACAATTGACAGGGATACCTTATTCAAATTCTTAAGGAATTCAGCTTAGATACTAAAACAACAAACCTAATTGGGGAAAAGTTAACAAATATTTATTCTAAAGTGAAATTTAGGGGTGAACTATTTAAAAGATTTGAGGTCAAAACGCGAGTTCGCCAAGAGGATGGTCGTGGAAAAAGTTATAAGAGAATGGATAAATATACTGGAAGAACATCATATCAATGAAAGGATACAACTCGGCTATAAAAGAGACAACTTAACAGTGGAATGCTTGGCTTTCGCAGGTGATTCAGACGTATAGTCAGACTCGATAGAAATCATTCAGCAAGTTGAACTTTTGAGTGACCATGCCTTGAAAGTACAAATTTCTTTTAAGAAAATCAAATTTATGACAAATATTAAGACATACCCTGCAACAATGAAGACAAAAATTGTATAATATTCAGAACAAAAAAAAGCAGATATCTTGTAGAAGTTATTGAGAAAAATATCAGAAAGAAAGAAGCCATTAAATCTAGAATTAACAAATTGAAATTAGTTGCAAACGTAACTAAAAACGTTTATAATAAAAACTCAATTTCTATCAATGCAAAACTTCGGCATTATTGAACAGTAGTTAGACCAGAGGCATTGATTGCAGTAGAATGTCTAACTTTATATTTAGAGAAAATGTTACTGGAACTGAAAACTACCGAACGAAAAATTCTCAGGAAACTTTTGATCCCAATTGAAGTTGATCAGTACCAGCGAAGTCTTACCACGGATGTATACAAAAATATTGAGAAAATTAAGGACACAATGAAAAAAAGAAAAATTACATTCTGTAGACATATTTACATATTACATTCTCGAAAATTAACCGGAAGACTTTTTCACTATTTTACAAAATTAAAGATGTCCGATAAGTGGTTTAAAGAAGTTGAAAACGACTCGGAAGAGCTCGGAATGGCACCAGCAGATGTTACTGAGCGGTCTGCAATGGAATTCAAAATTAAGAAATTCGCAGGATTTCAGGACAGCCAAAGAAGAATACAGGGGCCATTTGGACTAAGGAGAGAAAAAAGAGAAATATCGGGCGACAATGAAAAAGATATGGAGGAAGAAGGCAGAGAGTTAAAATAAACGTAGTCCATAGTGGCTTAGAAAATAAAAAGAGAATACATAGCGAACTAAAAATTCTACTATTTCAAGGACTCGGGCCTCCGAAATAACAGAAATGAAAATGTGCTTATTTCCACCATGGCCTCAACGGACGTCAGCCTGGAATTTAAGCGGGGGTCGAATTGGCTAAGGGATTGCCGTCAATCCCAAAGTAGAGGGTTTGATATCCCCTGATGTAAATGTATTGAGTTTCCCTTCCCTCAGGTACATTTTCCTCGCCGAAATGTTTACACCCAGCGAAAGAAATGTTGCAAGAAAGCATCCCCACGAGCATTGTTAGCATCCAAGCATTCAGTGTCGCGTAAGTGAGTTATTTGCGTTTCATTCATCAGTTCTTGTTCGACCCCCCCCCCTTCCCGGAGTTTTGAATTACCCGCTTCTGGAGAATATTGCGAATGAATGCGCACCCTACGGGTACATGTGAAAACAGCGGCACATGAAGTACTTACCGTGTTGTGTAAGACACCGCAGTAGTCGGGCGCGTCTGGCTTGGCCAGCAGGTTGAGCTGCAGCGTGGTCACGTGGGAGCCGTTGCCGACCGCCATGCAGTGTGGCACACGGTAGTCCCGCGCCTGGACCGCGCCTGCAACAGTTGCATGCAACGTCAAGTGCATGGTGGGGTGTAGCCGCACAGCGTATCATAAACAAAGATGATGTACTTGAGAGGCACGTGACATGACCTGTGACGTTTGAAGTCTTAAAAGTATAAAGATTCGGTATGGTGAATCGTGTGAATATGAAGTAACGTGACCTATATCATGTGAAGCTGAAAGTGACGTTTAGCACAAAGATCCGTTCCAAAGGGAAGTAGCTCCGAACGGTAACGACAATGTGTGTTGTTAAATTCAAATTTACATAATGGCATGCCTTCTTGATTCCCATGTGTTTGACTAGAACTGCCCGCTAACACGAGGTTGCATTGTGGGAAATGCCGCTGCAGTTGGAAACAAATTACATTTCTCTTGATCACGTGATTGAATCAAGTATGGCAATATTACAGGTTTTGTATGTTCACAGCGCGAAGCACTAAACCTTTGAATTCACGTTTAAGCCTCTGCGCGTGCGTCAACTCACGTCATGATATAGTTATATCTGAAAACGAAACTCCAGGAGAATTACTTTGTACCATACTAGTCTCGTGATCACAGTAAATGGATTTGTACCCAACTTGCGGCACTGTTTGCTGCTAACTATTTTTCCATAATACATCATGATAGTGGGCAGCACTAGAACAAATGGAATTCATGATTTTGTGGCATTATGTGAAGAGAAATTTAGCGCTTCGAACACTCACTGCTGTCACTGTCCCGAAACATCGCCAATTTATGACAATCTAAGAATGTAACTTGTGCTTCTCTTTTCACGTCAACCGGTTCAATTCACGTAGTTGCCCCTAATGTGCATCATATCGATTTACGACCCACAATGCAAAAGCTCTCCATGGTTTTGAAAAGAGGAGGGTAATTTAATACCGCACGCACCTAGTCTAGCAATAAATGACTACCCTCGAAAGATACGTGGCATAGGTGAAATCATAATTTTGGTCTTTTAGGCTATTTAACGCCTCAAAAGATGACCACATATCTTTCAAATGGAAATCAACAAAATGACTGAAATTGAGTGTTTTGGGGGCGTCAATGTTACAAAATATATTAGTCCAGCAATATTGTGACACAATGTTTGGTCCTACCAGCTCTCAAGAATTATGTTTCGTTGCAATATCTAGACAGATGTTTGATAACATTTTATAACAGGTTTGGCAACATTAGTTGTTAATACTTCAATTTACAGATTGGAACGCAGAGCATAGGGCGATCTAGTTTTGAGAGACTCGCTGGGCAATTTCAATGAAAATCGAGCGTGTGCTATTGGAACCTGAACGTCCTGAAATGTCTTGCGCGTTCAAACGCAACTTTCTTTCCTGCAGTGCAATTGTGGTTTTCCTTACCACATCGCCACGCTTCTGGAAAGCGTTCGCTTGCCCAATTTATTTCTATGTTGGCAGAAATAACTTTCTATTTTTGGCATTTAATGGCGTGCCCTGTCTTGTTAGGGTAACAGACCTGAACTGTCTTTTACGATTGAGGGATTGTGTTGCAAGTTCACATTGATGTAAGTTTCATTACATTTTACTGTGAGTTACGTGCTACCTCAACTAAAATCACCCAAAAGAAACAATTATAAAAAATTCAAAGTAAATGATACGTATATTTTATTCAGTAACATGATGATATTGAGTTAATAGCGCATAACAGCAAGGTGTAGCAAACAGAATTAAAAATCACAATCTCCTCAATGTAACAAGATGAAAATTAAGTGAGGATTATTCTACAGGTTGTACCAATTAAGAGAATAAATTGTGACATGAAAGAAGGCAGAACCAACCTCTTACAAAGTTTATCGTCAAAATGATTTAAATTATAGTTATTTAAAATATAGTTGTGCTTTCCATTACAATCTTCTCAGTTTCTATGGATGTGTGACAAACGAAAGCTCAGGCAGGCCAAGTATGCTAGATATGGTGATGGGAATATGTGATGCTCGCTACATGTCTCCTATACTGGCAGGACAATAAAAGCAGGACCCTGGCCTAAGCACAGGCCTGAGGCACAATGCTAGCTGTCAAAAGTCTGATTAAGGATTAAGTTATGAAAAGGTTGTGATCAGAAATAATGTATCTGTTAGCAGGGGCGCACCCAAAGAAGAGGGCTTATGGATATTCAGCCCCCCCCCCCCCCGAAGCAACGGAGACATGCTAAAAGTATAGCTTTTACTGATTTTCTCTACATTAACGAAAGTCATTCAAGACAACAACTGTTAACCTAAATATTATAAGTCAACAAATAAAAATACATTTTATATTCAGCATTAATGATTTTTAGATGAAAAACCATTAAGTCAGTGGAAATTTTATCTGCAGTCCCCAAAAAATCTTGATTAATATGCATGTAAACGATTTCGGGATAACCCGTCAAGAAAATTATTATGATCGGAAACTGCCACTCAGTACTAGTATCTGGAAATATCGTACGTTCGGCCGACTTCCCGAGGCGTTACTTCTTCCAATGGTGCGTGAAACACGGTAAGCGGGGAAGCGGAGTGGGAGGGGAAGGGGAGCAGGGCCAGGGGATCTTACGCCAATTTCCCCTCCGGCGCATCGCGCGGCTAGAAAGTAGCTGCGGGCACATCCTCCCCCGCCCCCTCCAACACCTCCAGGACGCTGCTTCGTGTTGTACCTCGGAAGCAAAGGGGCCAACGTCCCAAATGTTTTTCGGTTTTCAGATAACGAGCATGTCAAGAAGTAATAGTGATGTTGACTTTTTGTGCAGTGACCATAATGCACGAAGATCAAAATTATGATTAAATATAGTATATGCAGTGGCGCACCCATGGGAGGGGGTGCTCCTGGGGTTTCCGTACACACAATCCCGAAACCAATGACAAGTATTAAGAATTATATTTTTTACTCGTCCTGTCTATTATAGAAAGTCATTCAATACATGCTGTAAATATTAACTACCCTAATATACTTATAGGAATATATTTATATTCAAACCAAAAAAAATATTGATAATAAAACATGTCGGATGGATACTTACCTGCGAGCCCCTTCCCCCGAAAAAGTGTATCACTGAGTATTTGTTATATTCTTAAGCTATGTTACTATTTTGGAAGTGTGGACAAAGATTGCCCGACCCCTTCAAATGGACCACAATTGCTGCGATTTGTACCAGGCGAATGCAGGAACAGCCCATGAAACGGATGGCGCGCGTTCTCCTCCAGCATCCTTTCCCATCGTCTCCCCTTACATACACATACACACTTACAAACCCAACGACTGAGAGATATCGGGACCTTAGAGCTTGTCTCAGCTGTGCAGTGTGGCAGAGATACTTGGAGAATGAAAAATCCCAGTAAGCAGAGATGTAATGTAGGTCGGTGCCAGATCTCGCGTACCAGCAAGAGAGGAACACTACCTCCCGGGATGTAACACGCACTCCACATACGGGACAAATGACCTAAGTAGTTTTCGCGCCCAGAAACAATACTCATTCCATTGAAACGCGGTCTCTGCTCCCCCTCCCTCCCCCCCCCCGCCCTCTGGCGCTCCACGCTCGAGTGCGTGCGCCGGCGGGAGTGCGTGTGAGTGCGAGCGTGCGGTCGGCGGCTGCTATGCTAACGAGGCGGCCGCTCGCCCAGCGGGACTTCTCCCGGAAGGAAGCGCAGCCTAGGTCAGGCCCCTCTCATTAGCAAACCCCCGTCCTCCGGCGGACGGGGTTTCATTCAGTGACTTACGCACTTGTACCTACGGGACCTCCACAATCTATTTTCGCGTTACAGCAAGTAAGACCAGGAGTCCAATGGGAAGTCGCGAAGTACGATAGATATTTAATATGATTATTCCGCGAATGAAATTTTATCCATCAGAGTTTCTTGATGCATAAACAAATCAGTGCAACTCATGATATCAGTGCACGACTCTTCCTTTGACTAATGTCTCGCAGCTTACGATTTACCAGAAGATAAAAGTGGTGCGAACAATCGAAGAGAAAAAGAGAAAATTTTGATTAGACTCCCTGCCCTGATTAGGGCCTACAAGATTTTTTTGATTTTTTTTAAATTTTATTTTTTAAAATTTAAGGGCGCATCAACGTCTAGGTTATTTGCGACCACTGTTGTATTTAACGGTATGGTAACTATGAAAATGACGTATGGTGATGATAGGGATGAAAGAACGAACAAAAAATACAACCATTCCCGAGGCGGAACTCTAACCCGACTGTGTTACGGCACTATTGCCTTAACGATCTAGACCATTCGGTCCAGCAGGGGTATCGTTTGTTAAACGTTGTTGGTATGAGTGTCGTGAATAGAATAAACTTTATAAGTCAAAACCAAAGAAACAATGTTTCACTGCTAACTTTGGTCTATTTTTATTTTTAAAACATGAATTGATCGTCTCCTAAGATCGTATAACATTTCGAAGGTCGGCTACGGAAGAGCGATGATGCTGAGGACTCATTGGTTTTCGGGCTGTTGTTGCTTTATGTGGGAATGAAAACTTTTTCATTGTTTAGGATTCAGGATTGCAAAGCACATTGTTGTGTTCACGGCAAAGAACGAATGTCCGAAATCTCGTTTGTACAAACATTTCCTTCACAATTTTCTGCTTCATGAAGTATGTATTTTGAATGACCAAAACAGAAAAGTGACAAATATTGAGAAAGAACAGAAAATTCTCCAGACACCCAAAAGCGACAACTACATGTCTGCAGAAAGAGGCAGAGGATACTAAAATGTTAGAGGAGACGACTTATTTGAGAATTATAAATGCAAGCGCTGCAAAGTCAGCAATGTAGCATTGTACAATATGAAGTAAAGACAAACAAAAACTACGTATTCTAAATCCGCAAACCTTCGTTTCAAATCTCATTCCAGTTGACACTTATACTCAATCAGTATTAATTTATTATTGATATATCACTTTAAATGAGGTACAACTCATAAATATTGCATGAGAATATTTAGGTCATGTAATTTGTGGGGGGAAAAGAAAAAAAAGGTTTGTGGGAATCGTACCTTGGAAGCTCTGGTTCGTGGTCACTTTGATATTCATCAGCCCCGCTTTACAGTTGGCTGTGACGACCGGCGTGAAGTCTTGCTCCAACAAAGCCCACGTCGGTCCCTGAAACACAGAAAGCACAACATGAAACAGTGAACGGTTAAACGCCCATCTTACGTGTTATTATGTGCCCGGTTAAAATTAACAACTGATTTGCATTTGTAAGATTTGGGAGTGGATCACTGGAAACCATCTATGATAGCGCTGAAAAGTTAGCGAGAACTATAGTCGGTTGACTAATACACACACATTTCATTCCGTGAATATGTAATAAATTCGTAAGGTTGCAAGCAATTTCAGCTCATGTTCATTTCATGATTGTTCATTTTATATTCACCTGACAATTTTCATCGACATTTGGCCGCCAACATCATATATGAAATATTGTTCTAGATGTTGGTGTTACAAAAGTATTACACCTTCCAGACATATATTATTTCTCAGGATCCAACAACACGCACAACCTTTTACAAGAACAAAAAAATTTACGAAAGACAACTCTTCCACCATCGAGCTGCTTATTGAGATTTGAAGGCCTTCGCACAAATACTACCCAATAATTCATTGAGCAATATGGGAAGGATCGGTAGGAATTCCACATTGTTCATCGGATCTCCCAACGTTAGCAATTCTACACTCATTCTACGTTTGTTTCTGTAGTCTTGCGATTCTCTCCAGATCACTATCTCTCAGATGCTTTTCAGTCAAGTGTTCGCTGAAGCTCGTTAGAACTCTGCTGTAAAGTTATGATCCCCATCTGAATGTTATGAGGAGAGTCTGGATTTTGTTTGAGGTATGGAGAATAAGCAGAAGCAGGCGCTAGTAATAACGGCAATTATATACCATTTCCCCCTTCAAAATACCAGATTTTTATTTGGGAATATGTATATAAGTATATTCATACCGAAAATGTGTTTCAAAGTATCACAATATATAAAAAATACCGACTTTTAGTTATAGAGAATGAATGAAAACCATTAAATTCATAACACCACGATCATTAAATATTTCACGTCATGGAGAATCTGTACTGAACTACTAAAATTTTAAATATAAAGGCTGCATTAGTTTCATATTTTCAAGTCTGGAAATCATATGTTTAATTTTTTCCTTTTCTATTTGCAGTCGCGTTGTCGAGTCCTCTCTAAATGCAGGTATTTTTAACCGACTGCGCGAACGTAAATCACGGTAGTGTGGTTGATGTGTTTCTTCTATTTCTTCGTATAGACCAAGCGCTGAAAATTCATACTAGACCGTTTATGAACGGATCAAGTCAGCATTTTCTCATTGTTTCCGGAGTAACGTAGGTTAGATGAAGAAGCGGCGACTGCTTCTAATATCAAAGATAATTTTAATATCGAGAAAAGTTCAAATATTTTTGCCAATTTCCTACTAGCAGGACCCTATTTTCACATTGATGTCATTAGTAGATGAATGAATTCAGTTGATTGATTCATTATTTTGAATTTCTGGGCTCGACAACTGCTACGATCATTAGCCTCGAATTGGCAGTACATGTTATATTTTGGGAGGTGACGGTGTTTGTCGCCCAATGGAACGTGAAATCTAGATCTGACATAGATGTCGGATTGCGAGATTTTCCTCCTCCATGTATTCCAGGATTCCTTCGCCAGCGAGAGGAGCTCTAAGCTCCCGACTGGTCCCCGACATATGCAGTAATGTAATACATGTGTGTGTGTGTGTGTGTGT